GACTCAATATATCCTGCATATTATACGCAGATCGAGGAGATCGACATGCTGCGGGGCCGTTTTCCTTCGAACGCGGCGATCTGCATCCTCATGATCACCGGCCTTCGATCGAATTTATCGCAGACGATGGTTGATCTGATGCACGTGCGTGCATGCAGTGTACATGCCGGCCTGAGCGCACGCCACGTGTTGATAATGAGCACGCGCAAATGAAGGATCCATGCGTCAAACACTTTTCTTTCTGAAGTTGCGCGGATCAAGAATGGACAGAACTTCTCAAAGAAAGACATGTTAAGGGCAGGAGACGTGTCATATAACCCATTATATGACATTTCGTGCTGCCCAACATGCCCTTACGTGGATTTTCTTGACCGATTCTGTCAATTCTTGGTCTGTGCGACTTCAGAAATAATGGGTTTTGACCGGCTCTATGTGGCAACCGGCTCTATATAATCAACCGGCTCTATGTATAAGTCTGGTGGTACCGTGCTGGTTAGCCACGTGCGCACCAAACCCGCTAGCTGGCTGTGCTCGCCTTCTACTGCCTCCTGGCTCTGGTGGGAGTAAGGCGGCGCTTCCCGCACCTTCGCCCATCCTTTTCTGGACGGCCAGGCCACGTTTCTGAGCGTTTTCGGCGTCCAGCTGCAGAGTTACCCGCTTGTGCCTCAGGGTGTTTAGGTACTGCTCTACGCCGTCGAGTACGTAGGCACTGCTTTCCCTACCCTTTCGTGGCACTTGTGCTCAGGGGCCACCCGGTGTCTTTGTCAACCAGGTTTAGAATCCCTGTTCATGACAACTGACCTTCCGTTCTTTGGCAAGTAACCTTCTGACATTTCCCCTTTTGGAGCTTTCAGGGGCTTTAAAAAGGAGTACAATGAGCAGTGAAGGCAGTGGTAGTAGTAGTAGTAGTAGTAATAGTAGTAGTAGTAGTGGTAGTAGTAGTAGTAGTAGTAATAGTAATAGTAGTAGTAATATAGTAGTAGTCATAGACACTGCCCACTGTCCATAGTTCTAGTTGATTGTTCATTATCATCATTATTACATAGACTCTGTCCACTCTCCATTGTTCGACTTTACTGTTTATTACGAGTATTGCTATTCCTATTGCTCTTGCCACTACTAGTACTAGTCCTCCTACTACTACTACTACTACTACTACTACTGCTCCTACTGCTACTACTGCTACTACTGCTACTGCTGCTACTGCTACTACTGCTGCTGCTACTACTACTGCTGCTGCTACTATTACTACAGCTATTATTATTATTACTGCTGCTGCTGCTGCTACTACTACTACTACTACTACTTGTACCACTGCTGCTGCTGCTGCTGCTACTGCTACTGGTACTGGTACTGGTACTGCTACTGCTACTGCTGCTGCTACTTCTGCTAGTACTACTGCTGCTATTATTACAATTACTACTGCTGCTGCTGCTGCCAAACAGCGGACAGTGGACAGTGTGAGCTCGTTGAGGTAGGACACCGCCGCCTGCACAGCAAACACCCTCAATGACAGCACCTCAAAACACTCTGCAGCACTCCCTCAGCAGTCCTCAATAGCCTACTACACACTCTCAAGAGGAAAATGTAGCGAATTAACCGACCCCCCCTTCCGTTAATTCCCACATTCCCCCCCCTAGGGGGTCAATTTCCTGCCCACTGAATCCCCCCTGTTACCCGTACTTTGGACTCCCATTTTTAATAATTCTGGCCTCTTTAGCCCACACCCATGTACTTTTCCTTGACAGCAATGATGCTGGTGGACGACAACATGACAACACAAGTAAAACAAAAAGGGATTGTTTTCTCATCGCAGAGCTCGCGAACATCAATGCCCCTCCAAGCTCACCAGCAAAAGCTGTGAGCTTCAAAATTTTTTATTAGTAATGTACAAAGTTGAATGCAGCAGGGGGGCTGAGACAATTCTTTGCAGCCAAATCTGCTACATTGAGCAAGTGGCACTTGTATGGCTGTCAAAACAGCCAACAGTGCACAGTGGACAATGCCAGTCAGCGCAGAGTTGACAAGATATTTTCAGCAATCCGCTCAGCCCTGGCGATCATCGCTTGATCCCTGGCTCGATCCCTCGCATACCCTGCCTCTGCCTCGTCCAGCATACCGTCCACCATCTCTTCCTCTTCTCGTTCTTCGCAGTTATTAAGATGCCAGATCACAGGGTCAATCGCTGCAATGAGGATGGAAGCCGATGACCATTTCTTGGTGCAACTCAGCTTAGGGTAACCAGGGCAGGCCCTAGGATTCATAAGGCTGTTGCATATCAATTTTAAATGGGCTTGGGGCAACAGGGGCAGGCCACATAAGACAATAATGTTTACTTTTGTTGCGCAAAACGCAGCAAGAAACATTGACAGCTTGATCAAACCAATGCTGCAAAGCTGCACTGTCCAACAACATTTTCCTCTTGGCTAGTAACTTCTTCTTGTCAAAAACGCCCTTCTTGACCAAGCGGAAGACATCAGCTGTGCTGAACAGCCTTGGCATGCTAGCACAGTGGACAGCGAACAACTACTGAGAAGGAAAGCTTCTGAGCAAAATTGCTGCCGAAAGAAGCTAAGATCAAGCTTCACTTGCAATGTAATCAAGAGCAACGACTGCACAGGACTAGGTGCAGCTGTTCTAGGGAAGCATCCAGTGCACCCACCCTAGGCCCATCCTCCCAAGTGCTTAGCAATGCTTTTTCACAGACAAAGAATGTGAAACGTTGGCTCTAGTTGTCCTTCAGTGGAAGTGCTTCCAGCTGAAAACACAGTTTCCAATTAATTGCACATTTCACTTGCAGTGTTTCCATCTGCTGCACAGTCTTTTGACTGTGCATCTTTGCATCAGGCGCGACCTGAGCTTGGCCGCTTCCACAGAGCCTCACTTGTCTTCTGCCTCTTGGCAATGGGTTCCGAGGTGGAATTGGCACCTGGCGACTTCCAGTGCGCCCCACTGGTCGTCTTCCTCTTTGCATCAGGGGCTGAATAACTGGATGTTGCACTTGGCTTCTGCCAATCTGTCTTGGTGCTCTTGACAGTGGACACTGCGACAGTGGACTGTTGGACAGTTGGCTTGGCCATGCGCCAGTTGTCCACCACCCACTTGCCGAGCAGCCGGGGGTAGGATTGGCTCTCCTTCAAAAATTTAGTATCTCCACTCACACCACCCGACTTGTCATAGCGGACCAGGGCTTTGTGAATCGCACCAGGGCATGTGCAGTTCTGCTGCAAGCTCTTCACCCATTCCTCGCCAACAAACTTGTAGCGTTTCAAAAACCTCTGGCCAAGGGCAGTGTCAACTTGGAAATGGCACCTGGCACAGGTGGCCACCCAATGCTGAAAAGTGTTGAGAAGATTTGCAAGGGGCTTGTACCTGAACATGATGCTGCCTGCAGGCTGTTCAATCACAGGGTGGACCCCACGCAACATGGCGACTGCATAAAGAAAAGCTGCAATGGAGGCCATGAAGTTGCCTTCCTTGACAGGTGCATATGCAGTGTTACCTTCTGGGCGTAAGATACTCCTCTTACAATTAGAGGAGTTCATGAACACAAAGCTGCTGCAAACTGGGGCCATCCACAGCAAGCCACCCTTCTTGAGCTGCAAGACAGCTCCCAATGCTTTCATGAAACCAGCTTTGGTCATGATGTTCTCTGTGGCATCAGACTCATCAACATCGGTAACACCAGGGATGCGGTCTTTGTCCATGGCAAACTGTTGATAGCCAGCGCGCTCGGCAGCTTTTGCAATGGACCCCACACCACTCCACAGCTCGACAACAGACAGTGGACGAGTGACGGGGGACATTGAAAGAGCCATAGCCAGAGTAACACCAAAGATGTTCATCTTACACAGCGCAGGGGGCACTCTCATGGCGATGCTCGCAATCCTGCACACCAGCAGTCAGAAAAGCCTAGGTCTGCGGAACTCGTCAACTTCTGATGTTGGCTGACGATGAAGCATGCTACACTTGCAGGCGCAGGCACCCAAGAAACAAATCTTTTTGGCCACTGCAGCCTGATTGCAAAGACAGATGCCCCTCAACCCCGCAGGTGCACCGACAATGATCACAAGCACTGTCAGAGACTGACTGCGAAAACCCTTTCAGTGCGCAAAGTGACAGTTGAGAAGGAAACCAAAGTATCACACAATATCACAGACACTGCGCACTGCACTGAAACCCTTATTAAACAGTTAGTTCACACCGCACTTCTCGCGGAATGACTTTGAAGCAGAAATGAATCGCTCCACTCCTGCGCCAGTCGCTTCAGCCATACTCTTCTGCATGTGTCGCCAGTACATATCCTGGGAAAGGCTCACCTTCTTCTTCTTGCTTTGACTTGTGCTCTGTGAAAGAGCCTTCTGGATGCAATGGTACTCGTCTTTGAGTTTGTTGTAGATCTGGAGCTTATCTTTGTCAGCCGGTGGGCGACGTCCAGCAAAAGTGCCTTTGCTGCCTCTCGGGGCCCTCTGGGTCTTGTCCTTGCCACGCACCTTGTCAGGAGCTGCGTGCGCTCCATGGCCCGGCGAATGTGATCCACACTTTTCCCTGCTGGGACAGACACTGGGTGAGTGTTACACCCAGCCGAGGAAGGGTGTGTTTTCTTGTTCCCGGGCAAGGTGGATGCTGCATTATTCGTGCTGGCTGCTGCATTGTTGCTGCTGGGCACTGGAGCCATCTCAGCTGTTGGCATGCAAGAGCCAGACTCTTCTTCCATTGCCAGATCTTCCTCATTGTCCATGAAAGCAATCAGGAAGCCAGCCATGGCAACACACAGTGCACAGTGGACAAGGCTAAACTTGGACTGGGGATTTGCTTTAAGCCCAGAGGTCGATAAATGCCTGGTCATGTGCTGGGAATTTCAAAAACCATCACCTGCAGCAAACTCAGGATTGCAGGATTGTGCTGGAAGTTGTTTTTCTCTTCTCCCTGAAGACGGATTGGTGAGAGCTGACAGCTGACAGGGGACTAAGCCCTGCAATCTACCATTCTACTTTCCTTCACACAGCCGGAAACCCTTGCCCTTGACAATGCGCTTGGGCTTGGTCAGCATCCAGCATGGCTTGCTTGGGAAGATGAGTATCTTCATAATTCAATACCATGCACAGCCGCATGGTGCCATTGGTGGTCTCGCCCTTGGCCCAATCCACTGATGCGAAATGCATCAAGCTGCCGCAATTGGTGAGGTCCGCCACAGTGCGCCCTGGCAACTTCTTGGGCTCAAAGGCACAGCTTTCAACCTCTTTCACTTGCAACGGATTTGGCTCCTCCCCTGACACTTCATGGCAAGCCACATCAAATGTGACGACATTGTGCTCGGCGAGGTAATCCACGAACTGCCTGAATTTCGCAATGCTCTTCTGGAATGGGGGGTCCCAGCTGGAAAGGTGGCCCCAAACTGCCTCGTAGTCTCCCGACTCCATTTTCCATGTGTACAGCAATGCCTTGCGCTTTGTGGCCTTCGCAATCTCTGCATCCCCAGTGTGATACTCACCGAAGATCTGGAAAAGAGACTTCTTGGCAGACATGATGCCATCCTAAAAGGCGTGCACATACAAGTGGCCCTTTGATGTAAAAACAAGGGACCACAGCTCTGGCTGGTGACTGTGCACAGTGGACAGTGCACCCTGCTGCTTGCCAAGGGCTTCAAGGGACTCCACGACGCAATCATCAGGGAAGCTCTCGCCGTCTTCCTCCATCTCTGTGCTTTCTGCATTTCTTTTGCGGCCATCGGCCTTGTAGGGGCAACCGGATGAGTTGAACGCCTTGTTGTGCTTGTCCATCACAGCCTCAAAGTCTGTTTTGAGGCGCGCAAACTTAGGCGCCCACTCGTCCAAAGCAGACTGGCGCAGTGCCAAGCTCCCCTCCGCTGTTGGAAAAGTCAAGTGGTAATGGCTTGGATCAGTACTGGGCTGGGGGGCTTCAGCCTGATACTCTTTCAAGGTGAAACCCTGGATGCACAACAGTTCTGCCTCACCAGCCGCTCCATCCCACGATGGCTGACCCCAGACAGCCATGTTGCATTCTTGCGGATGTCTGCATCCTGATCGCCTCGGGCCCAGCAGCAGGTTGCCACCATCTCCTGTGGCTCTTTTGGCCTTGCACGGGCTGAACCTTGGACAGTGGACATAATGATGGAGTCATCATAGGGCAGCAAGTCCACCAACATTGCTCCATGCTGCTGGCTGAGGTTCATTCCCTTCCACAGTGACTCTTTCAGCTCATCCACGAGATCGACACCGCTGATGTGTTGCTTGTGCAACTGGGACTTTGACAAATTTTCTACACTAATGGCAGTCTGGCCTTGCACTGGCACCACATACTCATTGTTTGGCTTCATTTTGATGTCAATCACTGCCCTCCGGCGCCACAGCTGGCTGGCTGTGAACAAACTCACAAGCTCACCAGTCTCAGCGTTGGCCTGGTCACTGACGCACATGAGCAGTGGGTGGACGCAAGACCTGGTGCGCGAGTTGATGCTGTCATGCTTGAACACGAACTGCCCGCGGCGCACTCTGAGATTGTACTCTGGCTGTCTGACGAAAGTTTCTGTCTCATCTTGCACGGTGAGGATCTCCATCTCTTCATATGTCACTCCATAGCGAGCCACATTCGGGCTGATGATGACGCCGCATGTTCTTTCTGGGCAGTGGGCGCATGCGTCAGCAACTATCCGAGTTGTTTCCCTTGCCAAGGGCAGTCAGGTTCACAATGTAAACAGTGAACTGGTTGACAGTGCTGATGACTTGCTTCTCAAACCAAGCACTTGCGCATGTGCTCACATATGGCGCCACACCCTCAGCAGATGGAAGGCTTTTCACAGGAAATTGGAAATCAGCTTGGCGCTCTACGGCTTCTGCCAACTGCCTGTCTTGGGCGCGGAGAAACTCCACTTTGCCAACTCTCTGGGAAGAGGTGTAGTCGGACAGAGCAGCACAGCACTTGACCCACATAATTGAATCCTTCTCCAGCTTCGCATTGAAGAGTCGCAAGGCTGCCTCATGCACCGGAAGGGAATGTACACTCACCCCCAAAAGGAAAAGTAAAAGCAACCGAGAGGAAGATGAATTCAAACCATACACTCTAGATCATAATCACAAGGTGCATCCCCAACACTGAGCCTGTAGTAAGCAAGGAAATGATTAATTGTCCCACTTCTGCCGATTTAGCATGTCCACTTGAAACTGTTAACTCGTTTGCCTTCTCCTGCTCCAGCTCTGCTGCTTCCTGCGCTGCTTCCAGCTCCACAGTCTCCTTAACAATGGGAGCATCTTTCCCAAGGAATGAATGTGTAGATGAAGCGGAAGTCTGCCAGCTTAAGACTTGGGTTCATGGCCTTGCAACGATCTGTGAGTTCACGGTCGAGACCACCTCGAAGGAAAGTCTTCTCCAACTGCTCGAAGTCAGGGGTAGACATCTCCTTTTGCATGTCGGGCCGGAAGTGGACCCAAAGACAGGCCTGGTAGTATGCCATGACTGGATCACTGCATCGAAATCGATTTGCCTGGAAACGCAAGTTTGGCTTCTTTTTCGCACGCAGTGCATCCTTCAAGTTCTTTGCAAACACCCCAATGAGCAGCATGAGGTATACTTCATTCTTCTCTGGGCTGGGCTTCAAGATGGCCGTCCACACACCTTGGGCTTCTGGCGGGATGATGTCTGAGCCGAAGACACCGCTCCGGCCAAACAATTTCAAGGGAGCAGCGCTCTCCGCATTTTTGTAGTTCTGCCAGTGTTACTTGAGGGACTGGAGAAATTGCTCCGTTTGCTGTGGCAGCATACAAACGACCCGAGCCTCCAGGTCTGAAATGTTCTGGCTCTGCACCGTTGTCAAGCTGTTATACTGCTTAATCTTTGCCGGCAGGCCAGAGAACACATCCTGGCCTGCCTTGACCAAACTCTCTGCCAAGACATGGTAGATCTGGATGGGGTCTGGCCGAACACTTTCGCTGATTTGGAACTTGGCTGCTAAGCTTCTGTGCCTCTGCATGTCTTCACTGGGTGCCGGGTTGTTGGTAAACTTCACCGCAAACAGTGAACAGAGGACAGGGAAGAAGGCCTGCAGCTCCTCATTGTCGAAATCCAAGATTGCCACCAAGATCATTTTGATGGCAAGGGATCTGCCAAAGCCGACACTGAACTTCACAGAAAAGTCTGCAATGGGGCTCCCAGCTGGATCAGGAAACAGCACATCCAAAGCATTCTGCACACTGTTGAAACCATTCTCAAGGATAGAGAATGCAATTTCCAAGATGTTGACCATGTTGGGTCGACCCTTCATGGAACAACCATCCTCATGCCCTAGCTGCCAGATGAACAGCCATCCCTCAGCGGCACCCTGGTGTGGCCCTGGCGGTGCGGGAACAGTGGACAGAGGAGCAGGGTGCATCCAGGTGGGGTCAATCCGCTTGGCTCTGTCACACAGCCCTTGCAAGCAATTCTTCAGCTGCTGCGGCTCCGGCCACTTCTGCTTCATGAAGTCCACCACATGGATGCAATCGAAAGACTCCGGGTCCGAGGAGCCTCCGAAGAGTCGAGAGATGGTCTTCTTCACCTTGTCCAAAACTTGCTTGGACTTTGCATTGTCTGCCCAAGTGGTGTGTGCCATCAGTGCACTTTCCAAGCCTAGCTAGCCTGAGCCCAAAACTGTTATAACAAAAATAGATTGCTTCAAGAGGCTAGAACACAACGGACAAGCAATCGCACAGCAATTGAGCTCTTGTTCACGCCACTCTGTTCCGAGGAGGCATCCGGTGAAACGTTGCCAGGAGCTGCCAGGATGTGTCAGGCAAATGCTCATAGTACATGTTCCTGGTCAATGGCACTTCAGCTCGCTCTGGGGCCACTGCACCTAACCACCTGAGGGGATGCTCATCTTCCCCAGCAACACGGCCCTCTTGCAGACGTCTAGCAATTTCACGCAAGGCCGGAACCTGGGCTTTGAGGTAAAAACTTCGGGGTTGTGGGTCTTGGGAAACCTAGGAGGAAACATCTAAAATACTTTCTAATAATATCTGAGTTTTTAACAAAAACGATTATAATCTAATTAAGAACCCAGCAGCGGCACGGGTAAAATCATGCGGCAAGGGCTCCAGTGCATCTGCCAGCTTCACTACCTTCTTGATGTAATCATCCTTGCTGCTTCCTTCCGCCAAGCTTTTGAAGTCAGAAGGGACGGGGGACAGTGCACAGTGTCCCACTCTTCTTCGTGGATAGCATAGAACAGGAGGACGAAAAGAAGTCATGCGCATACGTCCCTTGGTGAGGGCAAACACATCATGGTCATGCTCTTCCACACCACGCCGCTGGGGAGGCAGCTGCTCAAGCTCTTTCGGTGTCAGGTGGCAGCGGCATTTGTAAACAAATGAGTGGGCCGCCAGCCTTCCACCCCGGGAAACAAAACAGTTGTGAAGCTGCACTCTCACTTGCCCAAGCCAGGCGTCAAAGTCCCTGATGCGCAGCACTTTCTCCACAAACAGTTCTTCCCCCTTGGCGGACACAAACTCTTCCATCTTTGACAGGAGAAGAGCTACCAAGTCATCTGGCACCTGAAATCGACAAGGACGGAGGACAGTGGACAGGATCAGGGAAAACAGATGATCCACGTCTTCATGCGTATGGCCGACTGTCAGAAAGTTTAAGGTGCAGGTCAAGAACTTACCCTCAGACACCAAGCGGGCCAGGAAGAGTGACACAACAGAGTTCTTGTTCTGGGCTGTGGTGTTGTCCGCTTGGATCACAAAGGTGCTGGGGGAAGCCCCGTCCCGTCTTCGCAGCAATGTCTGCCACCTTGTCCAGGCTGCGGGTGATCATTTCACAAAATGACGACGCCCCATGGTGCAAAGATTCATCTGTGACATACAGATTTGTGCACCACCCGTGACAGAGGACAGCGGACACTATCACTCGCGGCCTGCTCAGGTTTTCCAAGGAATGCGGCTTGCGCGCGAACTTGTACTGAGGCCAAGCCGTCTTCACTTGACCCATGGAATCGATTATGATGCACAAGACACCCAAGCCGGCCCGCGATGCCCACCGAAGGCTCCAGTAGATGAGCCGATCATGGTATTGGGCACGAAGATGCTCACGCCAGTCTCGGGCAAGCTCCATCTTCTCCTTGACGCTGCCTTTCTTTCCTTACTTGCATACAGTAAGCCACTGAAAAAATACTACAATATAACTGCTAGGTCAAAAGAATGGTAAACATTTGGAGGGCGGGCATTTCTAAAGTAAGTTTCCATGCAACTTCTCACGCAGCTGATGGCAGGTGTTGCATTCCTTGTGCTGGGAAACTTTGCGGAACTTCAGCACATAGGACCACTTGTCCCACCACACTCTCCAGAAGGTCGACCATGACGGAACTTTAATTGCATTTGCACCAGCTATTTTTTGCACGGCTTCACACCATGCCTGAAATTGCCAGAACAAGCTCATGGGCTTGCCTGGCGGCAAGTGCCGGACTGGCACAGTGGACAGGTCTACAGTGGACAACGCCATGATGTTTTGAACAATGGCTGCTTCAGGTGTCCATGAAAAAACCTCTGCTTCAGTCGACACTTGACGCATGTAGACCGGAGCGTTGCCATCTTGATCAGCAGAGATATTCTCATCCACATGCTGCACTTGCAAAGTTTCTGTCAGATCTTCAGCACTTTGGCGGTAGAGCTCCAAGAAAAACATACTAGTCAAATTTCTTTGCGCGGCAGGCCTTGTGGCCTTTGTGTCCGCGTGGCAGTTGAGTTTGCGGCGCTGGTCCACCACTCCCTGCAGTTTCTTCGCCATTGCCTTGTTTCCGACACCCAGAAGGGCGCACAAAGCTGGTAAGCAGACTTGCTGGCCGGCAAAGTACCAAGTCGTGCGGTGAGCCAGCTGCTCTCCATCAGTGCCGTCCAGTCCATTTCTCTCAGCACTGCAGTCCCACTGCGCACTAAGGAAGTGATATTGCGACTCATCTGACATTGAATGCCACAACTGGCACACCTCTGAAACTTTGGCAGCTGTGAGCAAACCAAAACAATTGTTCTTGCAGCTGCAGGACCCCACGAGCACTCTGGCAATTCGATTTGGATCCAGCGCATTCTTCTTGTAGTCAGTTGTCGGTCGCTGGTCGTCCTCTGTACTGGCAACCAATGAAAGCATTGGTGCATCCAAGGACACGTGACGGCGAACAGTTTTACCAGGCTTGCTGGTCGCAACCTCTGGCTCGGCAAGCCGTGGCTTTTTCCAAGAGGAAGAACTGGAAGCAGCAACAGAGGACAGTGGACCATCACTCTCGGGGCACCGCTTCCAGTTTGCCGCCACCTTCACCTTTTTTGAAGGCGGCTTTGTCGGCTCCGGCTCATCCCCTGCAGCTGGGTGCTTCCATCGCGACTGAATCTCAGTTCCTGCAAGTGGCTGCTTCCAGACAACTACTAGGTGACGGCTCGACTCGGCCCCATCTTCTTCGCAGGCTGGGTCTCGACTCGAGGCAGCAGGGGGCTTCTTCCAAGACATTTTAAAAGGTTTGAGCCAGATGCTCTTGCAAATGCAAATGATTTCATCCGCCGGCAAGGACATGATTCAGCCGCCGGCCGGAAAATGACAAATGTCATTTGCGGGCCTGGCAAATGACTTTTGGCTGGCCCCTACCGGGCCCACTACCGCCGGCCAGGCAAATGACAAATGTCATTTGCGCGGTCTCTACAGCCGGCCACACAGACCTTCGTATCCAATCCCGGGGCTGGCTGATACCGGACCCCTAGCCGCCAGCGGCATGGGAGATTATAATGCTCCGCCGGCGCCAAAATTGGATGTGAAGGTTCGGCGGCCTGGCTCCGCATTAAAATCTCCCATGTGGCTGGCTTCTGCAGTGCCCCTAGCAGCCGGCCACGAAACTAGATGCGAAGCTTCGCCCGGCTGGCTGATGTGTCCGAACTTAGCGTATCGAATAACGATTTGGTTGGCTGCTGCTTAAGATTTTCTACCGCCGATGGCACACATGCTGCTTCTAAGGCTCTGGTGCTTGGCAGTTCTACTGACTGGCTGATCCTGCTTCTGATACTATTACTTCTACTACTACTGCTGCTCCTCCGTCCTATTTTTAATCCCTAAACCCATCATCTGACATTCACTGGGCCTGCTCCAACTGAAGGCATTGCGAAGCCTGCCACGAAAGCATAGTGTTTCGGAGTAGTATGTCCACTGATCTTCATTTGTATTTGTTAATTATGTACATACGCTGTGTGCGACAATGGACAGTGAACGGTGAACATTGGCTGCCATCCAAACACATTCGGCTGCCCTTAACTCCCAATCCCTAAACCCCTAAACCCCTAAACCCCTAAACCCCTAAACCCTACACCCCTAAACCCTAAACCCTAAACCCTAGACCACTAGTACTAATACGATTACTAACACCCCTACTACTAGTACTACTACTACTACTACTACTACTAATGCTACTAATACTACTAGTACTAGCTAGTACTACTACTTGTAATGCAACTACGACTACTACTACTACTACTGCTACTACTACTACTACTACCATTATTATTATTCTGACTACTACTACTTGTGCTACTAGTACTAGTACTGCTAGTACTAGTACTACTGCTGCCACTACTACTACTTCTATAGGATGGAGGTATGGCAATCGCATTTGTGCTTTGGGCATCTTTGTTGCCATGAAGAATTCTTCCTGATCCTACACTACAGCTATTGAGAATGGCTCTGGTTGAAGATCTGCTTGTGCATACCTGCATTGCACAGGATGAGTGAAAAACATTGGCTGCCATCCAAACACATCCGGCTGCCCTTAACTCCCAAACCCTAAACCCCTAAACCCCTAAGTGACAATGGACAGTGAACAGTGAACATTGGCTGCCATCCAAACACATCCGGCTGCCCTTCATTCCCAAACCCTAAACCCCTAAACCCCTAAGTGACAATGGACAGTGAACAGTGAACATTGGCTGCCATCCAAACACATCCGGCTGCCCTTAACTCCCAAACCCTAAATTAAACCCTAAACCCCTAAACCCCTAAACCCCTAAACCCTACACCCCTAAACCCTAAACCCTAACCCAAGACCCTAAACCCTAAACCCTAAACCCATCATCTGACATTCACTGGGCCTGCTCCAACTGAAGGCATTGCGAAGCCTGCCACGAAAGCATAGTGTTTCGGAGTAGTATGTCCACTAATCTTCATTTGTATTCTTTAATTATGCACATGCGCTGTGTGTGACCATGGACAGTGAACAGTGAACATTGGCTGCCATCCAAACACATCCGGCTGCCCTTAACTCCCAAACCCTAAACCCCTAAAGCCCTAAGTGACAATGGACAGTGAACAGTGAACATTGGCTGCCATCCAAACACATCCGGCTGCCCTTAACTCCCAAACCCTAAACCCCTAAACCCTTAAAACCCTAACCCCTTAGCCCTAAACCCTAAACCCTAAACCCTAAACCCATCATCTGACATTCACTGGGCCTGCTCCAACTGAAGGCATTGCGAAGCCTGCCACGAAAGCATAGTGTTTCGGAGTAATATGTCCACTGATCTTCATTTGTATTCTTTAATTATGCACATGCGCTGTGTGTGACAATGGGCAGTGAACGGTGAACATTGGCTGCCATCCAAACACATCCGGCTTCCCTTAACCCCCAAACCCTAAACCCCTAAACCCCTAAACCCTACACCCCTAAACCCTAAACCCTAGACCCTAAACCCTAAACTGTGAAAATGTGATCCCTAAACGCC